TGTCTTGGGCAACACAGACTTTCAACTCCCTCCAAAGATTTTCTATGGGGTTGAGATCTGGAGACTGGCTAGGCCACTCCAGGACCTTGAAATGCTTCTTACGAAGCCACTCCTTCATTACCCGGGCGGTGTGTTTGGGATCATTGTCATGCTGAAAGACCCAGCCACGTTTCATCTTCAATGCCCTTGCTGATGGAAGGAGGTTTTCACTCAAAATTTGACGATACATGGCCCCATTCATTCTTTCCTTCACACGGATCAGTCATCCTGGTCCCTTAGCAGAAAAACAGCCCCAAAGCATGATGTTTCCACCCCCATGCTTCACTGTAGGTATGGTGTTCTTTGGATGCAACTCAGCATTCTCTCACCTCCAAACACGACGAGTAGAGTTTTTACCAAAAAGTTCTATTTTGGTTTCATCTGATCATATGATATTCTCCCAGTCATCGTCTGGATCATCCAAATGCTCTCTAGCAAACTTGAGACGGGCCTTGACATGTACTGGCTTAAGCAGGGGGACACGTCTGGCACTGCAGGATTTGAGTCCCTGGCGGCGTAGTGTGTTACTGATGGTAGCCTTTGTTACTTTGGTCCCAGCTCTCTGCAGGTCATTCACTAGGTCCCCCCGTGTGGTTCTGGGATTTTTACTCACCGTTCTTGTGATCATTTTGACCCCACGGGGTGAGATCTTGCGTGGAGCCCCATATCGAGGAAGATTATCAGTGGTCTTGTATGTTTTCCATTTTCTAATAATTGATCCCACAGTTGATTTCTTCACACCAAGCTGTTTACCTATTGCAGATTCAGACTTCCCAGCCTGGTGCAGGTCTATAATTTTGTTTCGGGTGTCCTTTGACAGCTCTCTAGTTTTGGCCATGGTGGAGTTTAGAGTGTGACTGTTTGAGGTTGTGGACAGGTGTCTTTTATACTGATAACGGGTTCAAACAGGTGCCATTAATGAAGGTAACGAGTGGAGGACAGAGGAGCCTCTTACAGAAGATGTTACAGGTCTGTGAGAGCCAGGAATCTTGCTCGTTTGTAACTGACCAAATACTTATTTTCCACCATATTTTGCAAATAAATTCTTTAAAAATCAGACAATGTGATTTTCTGGATTTTTTTTCTCATTTTGTCTCTCATAGTTGAGGTATATCTATGATGAAAATTACCAGCCTCTTTCATCTTTTTAAGTGGGAGAACTTGCACTATTGGTGGCTGACTAAATACTTTTTTGCCCCACTGTACATATACACTCACCGGCCACTTTATTAGGTACACCTGTCCAGCTGCTCGTTAAAACTTAATTTCTAAGCAGCCAATCACATGGCGGCAACTCAGTGCATTTAGGCATATAGAAATGGTCAAGACAATCTCCTGCAGTTCAAACCGAGCATCAGTATGGGGAAGAAAGGTGATTTGAGTGACTTTGAACGTGGCATGGTTGTTGGTGCCAGAAGGGCTGGTCTGAGTATTTCAGAAACTGCTGATCTACTGGGATTTTCACGCACAACCATCTCTAGGGTTTACAGAGAATGGTCCGAAAAAGAAAAAACATCCAGTGAGCGGCAGTTCTGTGGGCGGAAATGCCTTGTTGATGCCAGAGGTCAGAGGAGAATGGCCAGACTGGTTCGAGCTGATAGAAGGGCAACAGTGACTCAAATAACCACCCGTTACAACCAAGGTGGGCAGAAGAGCATCTGTGAACGCACAGTACGTCGAACTTTGAGGCAGATGGGCTACAGCAGCAGAAGACCACACCGGGTGCCACTCCTTTCAGCTAAGAACAGGAAACTGAGGCTACAATTTGCACAAGCTCATGGAAATTGGACAATAGAAGATTGGAAAAACGTTGCCTGGTCTGATGACTCTCGATTTCTGCTGCGACATGGTAGGGTCAGAATGGCGTCTACAACATGAAAGCATGGATCCATCCTGCCTTGTATCAACGGTTCAGGCTGCTGGTGGTGGTGTCATGGTGTGGGGAATATATTCTTGGCACTCTTTGGGCCCCTTGGTACCAATTGAGCATCATTGCAACGCCACAGCCTACCTGAGTATTGTTGCTGACCATGTCCATCCCTTTATGACCACAATGTACCCAACTTCTGAATGCTACTTTCAGCAGGATAATGCGCCATGTCATTAAGCTGGAATCATCTCAGACTGGTTTCTTGAACATGACAATGAGTTCACTGTACTCCAATGGCCTCCACAGTCACCAGATCTCAATCCAATAGAGCATCTTTGGGATGTGGTGGAACGGGAGATTCGCATCATGGATGTGCAGCCGACAAATCTGCGGCAACTGTGTGATGCCGTCATGTCAATATGGACCGAACTCCCTGAGGAATGCTTCCAACACCTTGTTGAATCTATGCCACGAAGAATTGAGGCAGTTCTGAAGGCAAAAGGGGGTCCAACCCGTTACTAGCATGGAGTACCTAATAAAGTGGCCGGTGAGTGTATATATATATATATATATATATATATATATATATATATATATATATATATATATATATATATATATATGTATGTATATATATATTCAAGGGAATTTTGCTTGGGGCCCCCAAATTGCTTGGAACGGCCCTCGTTGTAACCATTAAATGAAAGCACATTTTGTTTAAAAAGGTTCACTTATTGCGTCATCCGATAATCCCGGGACCAACCACCGGTACCGCCGGGTCTTTGGTCCTGGTATTATTGGATGTGAGTGTTATGTGTGAATGTGTGTCCGAGTTTTTTTTTTTTTTTTTCCTTTTTCTGTGGTGCGAGTGGGGGCACTAGGGAGGGAAAGCGTGGATGAGATTGTGAGTTTTTTTATTTAATTTTTATTCGATATAAATTTTTTTCTCCCAGGTTGGGATCTGAACTTCCCCCTCTCCCAAACACATCTCAAGTCTCCGCTAATTGCGGAGCCCATTCCCCCCATCCTGCTCTCCCTCCGCTGGCTGGCGTCGGGGCTCACCGGTGCACTGGTGGAGCTCGGGGTTTGGGGGTGGATGCCCGGGTGGCTACTGGCTCATTCCTGGCGACCTCTCCGAGGGCCCTGGCCGGCCGGGGCCTTGCTTGGGCTCCTGGGGCCTCGGATCCCTGGGGCCCAGGACCGGATTCACTTCAGGGTGGCCGGCTGCTGGCGGAGCCCGCGGACTCGTACCCGCGGCTCCCCGGGGCGCCGGCATTGCGGTGGCTGGGGGGCTTCCTCGGGGCTGTCTCTCCTCCCCTCTTGGTGGGGGTCTGATTTCCTTGCTGAATCCTCCTTGGTGCCTTCGCTCTTGGGGTCCCTTTGGGCGTCTGGGGCTTTGGGTCTCCCGGCGCTGGACTCAGTACTCTGGGGGGTGTGACTCTTCGGCTCTCCACAACCACTATTGAGCATTTTCTCTATGGATAAACTTTACATGCACAAGTGCACCCTCACAAACAATTACAGGTGCTTGGTTCCAGGTACTCAGAGACTTACTTCCATACAGAAAGTCTACATTCATATCTTCATTTAACACAGAGTACATGTCAGACTTATTAATACTACTTCAGCGATAGTTTCAAGGTGTTGCTTTATTGTATGTCTCGTACCATGTCTTTTGGTTGTGCTGTTCTTTTTACATCTCGTTGCAGGTGATGAAACAGACTGAAAATGTTTTGTCATTGTCTCCTTTCTATCTCCTCTTTCTTTCATCTTTTCTCTTTTTTTTCTCTTTCCTTTTTCTTCTTCTGTTTTTCTGCTCTATTTACATTGCAGTGTCCATATAAACTCTAAAACTCCCTGCATAATTATAATAAAGCAATTTATATGCATGAAACAAATGGAGCAATATGGCAATTGCCATACTGCTACACTTGTGTTAGTAAAATGTGTTGGGCTCTTTTTGACATCAAGACAATTATTCTTATTACCACATTGCCAGACAGGACACTGAAAAAAAAAAAAAAAAACAGAGGAAAACAAAAAAATTCCTCAGTTTTGTTTGTTTGTCTGGTTACCTGCCAAAGTGACAGATAGGTAGATTATATATCAGTTATATCAGATTAGTATGTGGTGGTGCCAATTTCACGCCCTGATTGCATAATTTGTTATATCATTTTTCATGTTTCTGCAACAATTTAAATATGTTTCTTACCTTAACCCTTTTGAAATTGGCAAAATTGCTTTTAAAAACATCAAATGTGGTCAACAAATTAGAGGCAGGGACATTAGAAGTCCTTCTAATCTAAGATATATATCCGATTATAGATCAGATACATAGTGACCCCCAAGTAGATTTTTTTTTTCACTACACATGTTTGTTTTTAAAAATCTGTTTTTGAAGAAACTAACTATCACATCACATCTTTGTCATTACTTTAAGCTTATTTTTTTTATATTAATGTATCTTAACATAATTCATTATTGGTGTTCATATTCTCTTTTTTTAGTGCTAGAACAGCAATTTACTGCAGTTTCAAGTTAGTGCCTTGGCTGTTGTGCAGATATCTTCAAAAAGTGTCATCAATCTCAATAGAAAAATGATCTGGTATATAACTTGATCCTTTTTTTAATGTAGCTGTTTCAATAACTATAATTTTTATGCTACTATTGTGGTTATTATTCTAATGATGTACCAGGGGTATTGTGCGGACTGCTACATGGTTGGTACAGTTTTTCCAGAATTTATAAGCTGAAGATACAAATTTACCTCGCAGCTATAAAGAATCTTTAATATGAGGAAAGTGGTTAGCATAGACACAGATACCTGATTTTACCAGCCCAATTAACACACCTCTTAAGACAGGGCAATACTCACCATGATGAGTGGGAACCCCTATGGTGGGCAATCATACATTAGTCATATATGTACTATGATGCTTCAATATGTTGCATTATTAACACTTGCTTAAGTATTTATTGTTACTGTTTCGATACACAAAACATGATCGATCATTGTGAGATGTCTGAGACTCTTTAATCCAAAAATAGTTTGCTAATGACTCAAATTACTCCTTTTGTGTTTGTTGCACAGATACATCACTATATTCCACGCTCTACGATACCACAACATCATGACAATGCAGCGGACTGGAGCTATCTTGGGGCTCATCTGGACTTTATGTGCAGTGCTAGCTGTACTAATGGTGAAATTCTCAGACTCCTATTTCATCATAATTTGCTTCATTGTCTTCTTCATCATCTCCCTGGCAGCTATCTGCTTCCTTTATGTCTACATGTTCATGATGGCCCGCATTCATGCCAGGAACATTGCAGCTCTACCTGGTTGTGGCAGGGACAAATCTCAGCATAAGAGGAGGTGGGGCAGTAATATGAGAGGGGCTCTCACTCTCACCATTCTGTTTGGGGCATTTGTAGTGTGTTGGGCGCCGTTTTTCGTCCATCTTATTATCATCATGGTATGTCCTTTGAATCCATATTGCGAATGCTACAGATCCTTGTTTCAACTTCATGTGGTGCTGATGATGAGCCACGCCCTTATAGACCCAGCGATCTATGCCTTCCGCATGGCTGAACTTAGGCACACTTTCAGAAAGAGGTTGTTTTGTTTAAAATGGAAATTGTAATTTTAAAGACATTTTTACAGGCACAAATATTAAATACTTTTATTCATGGAACAAGATTAACTTTTAGTCATGCACAGGATTGTTTAAGCATTGGTATTGCAATAATCTGAAAGGAACAGCATGAAGAAAATAATTGAATTTATGCAGAGGATTGGTTGGGACTAATGGCCCTGCCAACACTAAAATAAAATAATGCAACATGTCATGATCTGCCCTGATAGTGAGCCTTAATTCTTCACTACATTCACCTGCCTAACTCTGCCCAGTTCCAATCATTCTTCATCTTATCCACCTGGGTCTGGTGCTTCATATACAGCTCAGCCCAGCTATCGGGGCCAGATCATTGTTTTCTGTTTGATGTCTGTATGTTCTGGTTCGTTAGTTTGAGATCTGACAGAATGATCTGGCCACAAAGGGACCCATTGGAAGACAGTCATTAGGATTATGATTATTAGTATTTTTTTCCCCGGCTTGAGTCTTGCATGTGGGAAATTCTTTAATTGTTCTATTCATTCACCTGCCTAAATCTGCCCGGTTCCTAATCATTGTTCATCTTATCCACCTGGTGCGGCCTAGCTATTTTGTTTGTTTTACTTCTGTTACATACAGACAGATGGACCCAGTATTCAAGGTGAGACAGACAGTGGGAAAGTTCAAAACATTTATTAAATAGCAAACAGCACAGATACGCAGAGCTGCTATGGATCTATGGACGGCAGCAGCTGGGGGGGGGACACTACCCAATCACTGAAACTCTGGAGGGAGAAACACAGGTAAGTGAGCATGATATTCTGACAGGTGATGATTATCTGAGTGTGTAACTAAACAGATCAGTCCATCTTCTCCATGGACTGCCAAATGAGATGTAGTGGCAGCTGCCCAGAGCAGTAACCTCAGTGAGCAGGCTTGGTGAGATATCTGAAATGCTCTCACCACTAGCTAGTGAATAAACTTGCCTGAAGAAACTGGCTTGTCTCACTGGGCAGAACCTTATATATATAGCAGAAGTAGCAGGTGAATAAGATGAATGATAATTACAGAGCGATGCGGGAACAGCAGGTGGATAAAGGAGTAATCAAGGTCAGCTATCAGGGCATATCATGACAGCAACCATCTTTGGCATTTATTTAATGATATTTAGTAACAATTTTGTTAATGTAACTAAATATGATTAAGTAAATACCAAAAACAGTTGCATTATTTTTTTTTCAAACACAGTGGATGAAAAGATAAACTTCACCAAAGTAGTGTTGCTGAGGTTTCTGTTGCTGCTTTGGTATTCACTTCTTCACGAAGAGAGTTAGACCTTGTCACAACCCTTTGTCCTTGGATAGCTTTTTTTTTTGTTTGTTTTACTAATGTATCCTATCCTTTCTATTTGCTTTTGGTATTCTAATAACCCACATAAATTCACACTGAAACTGAGACAATCTAGGCATTGGTAAAGGCCCTGTGTCAGGTAGTTGCACCTATGCCTGGGTATGCTTCTTTGGTCAATCTTAGAGTGTGGTATTGGGTTCACATCCTTGCAGAAACTGTATGTGTCAGGGTTCCTGTGTGTGAGTGAGTGTGAGTTAAGTATCTTTTCCAGAGACGATCTTTATGGAGAACCTGGGTAGCCTACACAGGTGAGGATAATCTTCCTCATCGGAGTGCTGGGCTTAAAAGAGCAGCAAAGCCTTCACTCATAATTGGTTTGTTGTGTTGTTGATGTTTCGTTGCTTTCTAGTCTCTTGCTTCCTTGGAGTATTTTCCCTGACTGATTGGTTTTTTTTTTTTTTTTTTTTTAAGTATTCTTGTATTTTGGATGTTTGCCTCTGTTCCCCTTGGGCTTTCATTAAATCATCAAAAACTCATCTGTGCCAACTCCTCTCTCTATCTGGGTCCTCAAAGCTTCCACACAACCTGACAGTATGTTTGAAGTGTTCCCCAGGCCAGGTGTTATAGACCTGAAGCTATATATGGACTGTAATAATAAATAATTATACATTTTGTTTATAATTAACAAACCTTAATAAAATATTATTTTGTCTCACTTCTAATGTTCTAGTCATGCATCAATACAAACAAATATTTTCTAGAGACATGAGGTTTTGAACAAAGATTTGTTTGGTTGAACATAAATTACAGTTCAAATGTAACTGTAAATGTAGGTTAATCATTGTATTTTGTTTCTTTATCTCGTTTTTATTTTCAAATCTGTAAATAAAAATCTATAAATCTTTGAAAAAAATAGCTTAGATAACTTATGATTAGTAATAACTTTAAAAAGCAGGTTTACACTTTAAATGTGGGAGCTGTTATTCATATTCTTAAAAAGCAGTGAGTAACAAATCAGATCAACTAATATTGGTTTATTACATCTTATATAAAATAATGAGCGCAGCATATATTCACAGTCATAAGCATTTTTCTTAAACCATTGTTACATTTAATTAGCTGTTGTTTACAATGAATTAATGAATAACTTTATTTCAGACAATCCAGTAAAGTTACATATAAAAAAAAATGCAAACAAAATGTATAATTATATGTACATATATATATATATATACATACATGTATGTATATATATATATATATATATATATATATATATATATATATATATATATATATATATATATATATATATATATATATATATATAATTACATTATAATGTATGTACGGTATACTTTGTATAGTCCTTGAACACCAACATTCTTCCTGATTCCTCCTTATCTTTTGAGACCATACTCATGGTTAACAATGTTCTTATTGTTTTGTTAAGTCACTGTAGAGAAACTCTTACAGTGTTTCAATGCAACTGTTAATAAAATCACATTCTGGAAAAGCATAAATACTACATTCTGTTTTTGTTCAAATTAGTAGCAAGCATAATACCAAAGGGATGAGTAATCTGTCTCTAGAGAATGAACACAGCAAGTGAATCAGCTACTGATTAAAGATCTTTTACTTTTTTTGGTAATGTCAATAAGATTGGGTGTTATTGAACTACTGTTCAGTGGTGCAGACATGCACAGAAACATCTATAGGTCTGAAATACTATGTGAACCATGGTCTGATCTCTGAGAGCACACCGGTATATATGCAGGGTTTTAAGGCATTATAAACATATTTTACTGTATTCATTAATTATATTGACTAAGCATGGGGAAACACAAACTGAAGCAAAAAATGGATTTGAATCAGTGTGTCTGACTGGGAAACTGATAGAATTCTGGTCTAGCACTGAGAAGACATGAAAAGTGAGGTTATTAGGGAATAACAGGTTCATCAGAAAGTATAAATGTTATAGGAGCTTACCTCTGGTTCGTAAGTCGGTTACATCCTGGAGGATCTAACTGGCATGTAAAAAGTGTGATATAGAAAAAAAAGAAAAAGCAGAAATTCAGCCACAACTTGCACACAGGTGAATAGATTTACTGTTTGAACCTGCTGTGGGATGTTCAAACAGGTCAGCAACAGCAAGTATTACTGATGACTGTGGCAGATACAGACAGGGCGTTAAATTTTTGATGCCCAAAATCTCAAATGTACTTCATTGTATTAAGATTACCAGCCAGTACTTGTCACCATCATGCTGATGCTGGCATCGCGGTCTGGGCTCCAGCAGATATAAGAGTGTGTGTTTGAATTGCTTACAGCTCAGGACTGGGCTTAAAAAAAACAGGTGTTTTTTATTTCAGAGGCTGCTTCTTCCAGTGACCCCCTCTATCTGGACTGGGTTCTTCGAGGCCTGTGAAAATAAGGAGACCGGAAGAGTTTTGAGTATGGTTTGAATTGAGACAGGTTTTTTTCTTCATATGTGTGTATATATATATATATATAGGTCTGTATATGGATGTGCATATGTACATGTATACATTTGCTATATACATGTATATGTATATGTATTTATTTAGCACACTATTTCCATAGCCCCAATTCACAACACATGTCATCTCAAGGCACTTTACAGTTCACCAAATCATCCAGTCAAATTGATTCAAAGTTTTCTATCAAAGGAAAACCAGTGGATTGCATCGACTCATTGTCTTGAATGTAATCCCTCACACTAAGCATGCTTGAGGTGACAGTGGAGAGGAAAAACTCCCTTTTAACAGGAAAAAACCTCCAGCAGAACCAGGCTCAGTGTGAGCGGTCATCTGCCGAGGCCGACTGGGGTTCAAAGAGAGAGAAGCAGAGATACAAAAAGCAGCTGTAAAAGGCGGAAAAAGCAGAGACAGCATAATGTTAGAGATTGAACTTACAGATTCTGCAGAGTGGGAGAATATAGATAGAATGAAGCAGAATGATGAAATGGGGGTCCCCATGTCCTCCAGAAGTCTAGGCCTATAGCAGCATAACTATAGAGATAGCTCAGGACGTTTTAAAACGTCCTGAGCTATCGTTAGCTATTGGTAGCTATTGGTTCCACAGGAGAGGAATCAGCAGGGTAAGTCGTCGGTGGATTGAGCCCCTGATGCCATAATTTTTTCAAATACCAACAGGCCATAACGAAAATGAGCTGAAATTAAACAAAACTAGCAAGTCTATCGTTAAGATATAAGGAGTTGAAAGTAGAAATAATTGCAAAAATGTAAGGAGTAGAAATAAAAACTGTCTAAAAAAAATAATGATTCCAGTAAAGTGTCATGATGGGTTTCAGAAAAGCCCAATATGCAGAACACCACGGAGACAGATGGAAAGTTTAACAATGTTTATTGATCACAAGCACATGGAATAAACACTGGAACTGGTTCAGTCCTGGGGGCAGGTTCACTGGAGTCTGTGAGGATGACAGTTCAGTTAGCTCAGGAACTGAAGAGTTTGAGTTAGAGAGTTTCTGAAGGATACCTTGATTAATCCGGGTTTCGCTTTGAGAGAGGAACTGTTGGATCCAGAGACTGTTTAGTTCAGCAGAGTCCAATAACCGCTTCAGCGTCTTACTTCTGACTTGAGGGCAGACCTTGGTTTTGGGTTTCCAGCTCTTAGCCAAGAGCTGCATGGGAATCCAGAGAAGAGTCTTCAGGTTTGGCTCAGAGGGCAGGCTCGGCAGGTTAAGCTCATCCAGAGCTTACAAGAGAAATGGATTCCTGAAAGCAGAGACAAGGAGGTATTAGAATCCAATCTAATCAGAGACAACAAAGATTCTCAGGTGATGCTAGGCTCAGGTGCTAACCAAACTGGATCAACACGGCGGCGTTGAGGCAAGGTCTGAAGGCAGGTTATATACAGGAGGATCCTCTAATGACGAGATGCGCCTCAGGTGTGTTGGAGGCTCAGCTCAGGAGGATCCACGGCGCACTCTGCTGGAGAAAGGTGGTACAGCTCCAGATCCCAACATAAAGTATAGATAGCCAAAATTTTGTACTTAAGTAAGGTAACAAAGTACTTGTTCTTTGTTACTTAACTATAGCAGAATGATACAAATTAATAAGTAGTCTTAAAATAGCATCTTCAGTGTTGTTTTTTTTTACATACAAATGTATGTTAAAATTTGACATTAATTTTATAGTAAAAAAGGATGGTAATTTCATAAACAAAGTTTGTTCATCTAGTGCGGTAGTATTGTAGATTTTACCCAAGGCCAAAAAATACTGCATCTCGTCTTACCTCTTGTGGTTTAAAAAGATTCATCTCACACTATTGTTTCAATAAGTTTGTGTTGCATTTAATTTAATGCATCAGCATAAATGTTTTGTAAATTAATAGCTTCAACATAAATGTAAAAGTTGCAATTTAATACTCTCTGTATAATTTTGCTTGTTTGTATATTTCTCTATTGAAAAGATACCAAGGAGTAGAGAATTTTGACATTCCTCAATACATTTTTGCAGTCCCGGGCTGTGGATAACGATAGGTGTCACTAAATCACCACATATTTTGATTAACAGATACAAAATCCTGGTTTCAATTGTTAAAGTATATTGATATTGCTTAGTTGTTATTTAATTCTTAAATGTCCCAGCTGGGCCCCTGGGCCAGGGGAGGGCTTTGAACTTTCAGCACATGTACATATTGTCATGGTTTTGGTTTTGTTCAAGTTTTATTTTGAGTTTTCATAGGTGTTATTTTGATTCTTGTATTCTAGGTATTTTTTATTTTATTTGAGTTCATGGATATTTCCTGTTTGCCCTCTTGTGTCAGTTGCCTTTTCCCTAGCTCCCTTCTTGCCTCTGTTCACAATCTGCTAATTAGCCTGGTCTTTGTTTCTCTCTCCCATATACAGTAATCTCCTCCTGTTCAGTCACTCTTTGCTGGTTTGTCGTCATTACTTTGTTTTGATTTTTGTGGATTTATGTTTTGGATTTTTGCTTTTGTTGAACTTTTGGTTAATTAAACCTTTAAGTAACCACCTCTAGCTTTGTGTCTGCATTTTGGTCCTGTCAAACCTCCAACCTCCCCTTGACACATATAAGTATATCACTGTCAATAAAGCATGTCGGCATATCTACAGAAAGCTCTGGTTCTCCTCTTTCAGTTGATTTAAAGCATACTTAACCTCAACAAATGCCGCAGTCGTTTTATCAAGAGAAACGTGAGAGATACACAGAACTCAAAGGTCATGTTCTTACCTTTTAGTCGTCCCATGGGGAAAACTCCAATATTTTCCTCCTCTTTCTGCTCTAAAGACCATAGTTCCAGTAAAACAATGGCTCCAAACGTCATAGTAAATCAACAAAGGCATGAATACTGCAGGATAATTTGCATCTTCAGGAAAAAAACGCCACCACATTTCCCTATTTTCACTCAAAATCCCTGCAACAAGATACTAATAACGTATTTGATGCTATCAAACATTCAAACAGGAAGTCCTGTTTGAATGCAGCCAGTCCTGGCCAGTTACATACTGATTGGGGCAGGCTGGAACAGCAGAAAGCCAATCAGCATCAATCATGAGTAAAACTTGGGATAATATGTCTTTTATGGAGGGAACAGGAGCCACAATGATCTTCTCTGCTGTTCTCACCACTCTCCTCACTTTCTTCCAGTCTGAGGGGCTGCAGCCTCCACAC